TTTATTGCTATATATTTTTATCACAATTTTAATTTTACCATATATAAGAAGGTTCTTTGATTTTTTTCTTTTTAAAACATTTGTGTATACTAGTTAACATTTTTATAAAAATAAAAAATCTACCCCATATTTCCATGATTTCTATGATATAAAAACTTATCATCTTAATTGAGCAGACACTAAGTAGAAAAATCCTATGTATCACTCAATGAAGATTTTAAGAGACACGTCAATTAAATTAGACAATCAAAACATTTCAATTAATTTTATATGTCAGGTTAGAAACTCTATATATTTACATAATTTTTTTAACATGAACTCACATATACATATATTACTCATTTAAATCCAACTAAAATATAACATTTGAATATTTTAAACGTTAGATAATATAATATTTTAACGATGTATCATTTGCCAATGTCAATTATTTTATAAAAATTGCATTAATGTCTATCTGGATACGATATGTTATTGATCACACAATTTTTTTTATATAGTTTAATTGTATCCATATTACTCTAATTAAAGTTTCGTTTTTGTTATAAGTATACAACATTACAAATCAAACATTAATGATTGAATTTTGAAATCATCATTTTCACTTTGTATTATTTATTTGATTTTTTTACTTAAAAATATTTACATACTACCACGATATTTATTTGGATTTGGTGAACTCAAATAACTTTGAGAGAACCCATAATCTCAAGCGTATTTGATTTACATTAAAAATGCTTACATTTAATCTAAAAGTAATGCATATTAAAATTTATAAGATAAAATATATTTATTTATATGAAAAATATACTATTTGATAATTGTTGTTTCTAATTTCTCCCGTATATTATATAGTTTATTAATTTTTATTTTCAAATATTCTAATCTCGTGTTTGACGCGGAACAAAAATCTAGTTGTAGATTATTATTAGGGGAATTGGACTTTATATTACTTATTGACTCCATATTTAATTATCTAACATAAACTAAAAATAAAAAATTAGTAACTAACATTCTAATTATCTGAAATTCCAATTTTATCTTAAATGTATTTATGGTAAGTACTCTCATATCTTATTTTCATTATTATCTCATTTAATATATTTTCCATATTATTTTTATTCTCTTTCATATCTAAAAAATGGTTAAAGATGAATAAATATTCTTATTTTTGTATTATTGAAAAAACAATAATCAACATCATAAACGTTTAGACTTTTCATTTTTATTAATTATATATTTATATACGTAGTTAACTATGTATTTAAATATAGTTATTAGACTTTTCATTTTTATTAATTATATAGTGAACTATGTACCCAAATATACTTATTTTTATATTTAATTTTAGTCAACTATATTTGTTTTATTTACGAATAATTCACTATTATCTACTCCCTCTCTTTGTGTATAAACGTGTATATAGTTAGATATATAACTAATTATTTTTAAATATAATTACTTATATATATATATTTATGTGTAGTTAACTATATACACACGTATAGTTATTTATATAGCTAATTTTTTTTGCAAACAATCAACTATACTATTCACAAATTAATCACTATTACCTATATAGTTAGAAATATAAAGGGGCAATTAAAAAAATACCACTTTTGGTGTGTACATTTGCAAAAATGTCATTTAAGGGTGTCGATTTGCAAAAATGTCACTAATTATGGATTTTTAAAGCCTATATGTTAAAATTATAAATCCTAAAAAACGTTTTGACCCCTAAAACCATTTAAACCTTCAAAAGTAAACCCTACTACAACATAACCCAAACATAAATGATATAATAGAATTTATATTTTTGAAATAATGGTATTTTTGCAATGATTTTGAAAATGTGATTTTTTTTTTAAAGTGTCACTTGAAAAGTGACATTTTTAAAATTTCTTAAATATTATTATTTCACTAATTAACCCTTATTATTATAGAGGAAAAATAAAAAGAACTAAATATATACACTAAAAGTAGTTTTTATAAAAATTATTGCTATAGAGTTTTTTAAAAATTTCATTTAACCATTTAAGAAAGTTGTTCATTTGTATAAG